CCGGCCCCCGGGCCGCGGCCGCCCCGGACGCGGGGCGGGGCGGGGGCCGGGCGCCTGGCTGCACGCCGGCCTGACTGCGGCCTCGGGAGGCTGCGCGGGGGCTCTGCGCCCGAGGGTCCCCGCTTCTCCTCTTCCTCTCTTTGGCTTTCTGACGGTGTCGCCTCAGACCTCGACTCAGAGCCGCGCGGGCGCTCCCTCCCTCCCTCCCTCTGCCCAGGTAGGTGCTCGGAAGGCGGGTAGCGGCGGGCAGCTCCTGCCGCCGCCACCGCCGCCCACTGTGCCCCCGCCCCGCCGGGGCGGCTGGGACCGCCGGCCCCGGCTTCCCGTCCCGGCCGCTCCAGGAGGGGAATGAACCCGCACTCCAAAAGCTTTGATGCCGGCTGTCACTTGCTGACAGCCTTTAAGCTGACAAGTGAGTGACACTCGTAGTTTTTAGTAAAGGACTCCAGGTTAGTCGTTTGTTTGAGAAGTTAGGTTTTTGCACTTTTCCGATTTGGATCAACAGCATGTTTAATGCTGACTAGAGCAAACTTTTGAGTTTGCTAGAAAAAACAGCGGTCTCAATTTCCTTCTTCCTCTCATTACTCTTGCAGACTTTAAAATGCTTGTGAGTTTATAAACTTACAGCAAGCTACCAGTCCGGACGGATGCATAGGTTATCATCACAGGCAAGCGTACAACTGCATGCAAGTCTATGCCTTTAACTTCCTCTGCTTAGCAGCCAGTGAGCCTCTGTGGCCCTGTCCATAGTTTTAACCAGAGGAACGGTAAAAAAAGTAGTATTGAAAGGGCCTAGTGTTTCAGTGAGGAGTTGAGGCAGATGAGGAAATTGGTATAGAGAGTGTCTGAATTACTGGGGAGGAGATAGCACACCACAAAGGAAGAGTATATTCGTCCATTTCATCACATGTGGCATCCTTGGGTAGCGTTTTGTCTTCTTTTTTTTCATTCTTGATTCTTCTGCTGGGATTCCCTTTCTCATTCTCAGAAGACAGCAGTAAAACCCCTAAACAAACGAGAGGACCCTGGTGACAGAAAAGACAGATGTGTGTACAGTTTGAAGTCATCTGAGCATTTTTCTAGTGTTAGTGTTTCTTGGCAGAGCAAAGCTGGGTATTGTGCCTAGCGTGTGTAACACTTTCTAAATCTTTTTTTGAACCACAGAGAAACGGCATGACGAAAATGTGACCCGAGTGTTTTGTTGCAGTCTGCTCTTAGCTACTATTAAAAAAAAAATGTTGAATTTGGAAATGCCAGAGGAAGACAGTGAAGATCCAACCTGGGAAACGTCATTTACCTGAGTAGGACCAGGGAAGATTTGACAGATGTGAAAAGTTTTCTTTGAGCCCTAACTCCGGGTGTCTTTTTCCGAGGACAAGTGGTTTCCTCCTCAGCTAGTTATTCACAAGCAGTTCCCTCTCGGCAGTTACCTGCTGCCTTGCTCCAACTTGATGTGTCCAGCCATTGCTTAAAAAAGTGAATCAGCTTGTCAACTGGAACCTTTTTACCCAAATTAACCTTGTTTCTGTAATAACTTCAAAGTAGCGGTGGCAGTGCAACAAAAAGGAGAAGTGTTGTTAGAACAAGCTTGGATCAGTAAACTACAGTTGCTGTAAGAAAACGCCAAGTAACTTTTTCAGACTGTACTCTAGAAAGGTGTGTATGTTTAACATTTTCTATATATTTTCTACATCTATTCTTACAAGAACAGGCATTTTGTTGTCAGGGTGCCTTACTGGGGGAGAGCCTGGAGCGGCAAAGCAGGGCTGGGAAGGGCAGGATGGGGCAGCAGAGCCACCCATGCCTCTGATCCCAGCTCCCTTGGCTACAGTTTCCTCATTGGAGTTCCCACTCTTTGTACAGCAGTGGTGCAGCTCTCCTGTGGAAGGTTTAAAACAGATGGATGCCTTGTGGCTCATCATTGAGCTCTGTGGGTGAGTGAAGGGGTCTGGTGTCAGTGCAGCCCTTCTGCCTCTCAACTTTCCAAGAAAAGCTTGCTTTCTTACCTTTGCCGAGAAGAAGTGCTCTTGGATTTTAATTCAAGTAAACGAAATCAGTTTAATTTTTCTTTTATTTTTTCTTGACCCTAACTTAAGAGTTGCATGCTCTTGGCACATGTGCTTTCACATGGCTTTTAAAAGTGACCATATGTTCTGTCATATCTTACTGCAGTTTATCTGATTTTTATAGATGGGATTCAAGACAACTTTTTGGAGAGAGAGGACATTTTAAATTCTGAAATCTAGATTCAGTGCAAAAACTTGGTAATTGTTGTTAGTTGCAAACCGAAAAGACAGTAATATTCACTATTCAGTTGACCTGAAATTCTGATCATGAAGATCAGGGAATGGAATACAGAGCTGGGACAATAATCAGGGTGCAGTCAGTGATTGTTTTCGCTAACTAAAATCAGTGTACAGGAAAGTGCAGAAATGAAGGGCAACTTAGGTTAAACTTACTTTAAAACATTTTTGCAAGTAGTAAGTGCATAAATGGTATAACTGCCAATATGTAGTGTAAACTCTGTTAGTGTTCAATGGTTTAAATGATTAATAGTTTCATTAGAAATTACTGCTTTACCTTCTTTTACAGTGCTTAATCTTAATTAATTGGAGGGGAAAAAAAAAGCCCTGCATGACTAAAGTTCTTGATATAAACAGCTTTTTAAAAACACAAATCTAATCAGTGGATTAATAAAAGATGAATTAATATTAATTGTGATACCAGGATATTAATAGTGGAAATGTGATCACTGAAAGTCATGCTACTGATAACAAAAATCATTCATATAATAAAAATATTCCCTTTTCATATTTTAAAAGCTTCTCAAGGAGTTTATTTGTCATCTTTCTCCTGCATTCTCTCTTCTACTGAACATAATTCATTGAAATTTGGTAGGGAAAACCTACATGCTAAATGTTTTATAGTAGTTTTGAAGTCTTTTTAGTTAAATTTTGTACCTGCGATGTGTAGAAACCTGACTCTGAAAAAGGTAGTAATACGGATGAAGTTCAGAAGACCTTAAAGGTGACTCCCGTTCTTCATAAAAGTGATTGAAATTTCATATGTATTTTTTATTTGCCCCAATTTCTAGTTATTCAGTGTCATTTGAACCAGTTTCTTTACAGTTAATCGTGAAACATTGATTTGGAAACATGCATCTTTCAATTTTGATTCATGTATCGAAGGCTTTTACTTTATATGAGTAAACCACAATGAGAGATCAAGCAGTTCCTGATCAAAGCTGTGTGAGTTCAAGGTTGTAAATCATCCAGAGGTGAGTAGAGAAGTGACCAGGTAGGACAGATTAATGGCAAGCAAAAATAAAGTTGCATCTAGCAACTTAAACCCTCTCCCCCATGCACGCACCTGAGAGAGTTGTTAAGCTAGTTTCAGAAGTGAGGAAACTATGTGTTGTTTCTGTACTGACTGAGGCAAGGGTTGTGGACAGCGATACCTGTGGTGTAGGTAGACAAGGTGCCATCCCTGTGCATGCACAAGGGGGCAGACCTAAGGTTGCAGGGTGACTGCACACCCCACGTTTCCTCACATCCCCATGCTTGGTTTCACAATCCAAGTGACTCTCGTATGGGTTTTGAACCAATTTTCTTCAACACTGGGGAAACTGAGCCCTGCCTGGTGCAAAGGTAGCATCACTGCCCTCTGAGACATGAGTTGTCGCTTGTGTTTCAGTATTTTGGCTCAAGGCCTGACCTGGAGAGGGAAGTCATGGATTTGTGTTAGGAGAATGAGAGGGATCTGAGAAGTTTGAGGAGGCAGCACAGTCTGCCCCAGGGACAACAGGGATGAGGTGCTAGGGCTAGGAAATCTGGACTCTTCCCCCTCTTCCTCTTGTGGCAGATGAATGTGCTGCAGAGCCAACAGAGGATCCTCTCTGCAGGCTCTTGGAAACCTCAGCCCCAGTACTGGCTGGTGGTGTTATAGCCAGCTTCATGGAGGAAGTGAGGGAAACAGCAGCTTCTCCGAAGGTGTGCTCTGTTTCATGTGGGTGGGAATCAAGGGAGAAAGGAAGAGGCAGGTTTGTAGCCTGCAGGCTTCTGCATGCACAAGGTTTTTCAGCAAACCATAGTGGGACTATATTGTTTTACCATGGAAAAGTTCAGCAAGCTAAAAGAGAGCTTTTCTATCAGTTGTCCTTGTAACAAGCTGAGGCACTTCCCAAAGGCAGCAAGATGCTTCATTCCCAGTGGATTTCATTCAACCAGGTACTGGTGTCTTCAGCTTGCCTCAGAGTTGAAGCTGCTGCTGTTCTTGCCAAGACTAGGCTGGGAACACTTTCACTGAAAAAGGAAAGGTTTACCTCTTCTTTTAGAAAGATGAGAGGTGTGGTGGTTTTGGTTTGTGTTCATAATGTCAGTTTTACTGTGTAACACTCTAGGAGAGGCAGGGATGATTAGCAGTTTATATTTGAGCTATTATGACAGCTGAAGTGTGGCTTACAGCATTATAATAAAGGCTGTGTTATGCTGGCATATCCTTAGCTGTGGCAATGCTCCTCTGTGCCACTGTCACCAAGTGCCAGATACATCTGAAAACAATGGCAAAGCTGTAACATACATAAGAATGAGGGGTAGGGTGAGTCTGTAACACTCCCATACTCTAAAATAACTTCTGCTTTATCAGTCTGTGATGAACTTTTTATGATCCAAGGTGTGTCATACTAAGTTTAGATATTAAAGACACATCAACTTTTTTATTACAGTGCCTTCCTCCTTGCTTTCAGGAATTGCCAGATAACTGCAGAGGAAACTAAGGTTTAGTGAAATGCCATGAGCCTCTATGTTTCCTTGAGACACCCTGTCATGGGTTGAAATGGAGAGATCCAAAAGCAATAACAATATATATTGATATGTCTTGTCAATGCACAGTCTGATGCTATGGCAGGGTTACATCATTACACATTGCACCACTTTGTCTTTCAAAATCATCACTTTTTGTGGGATTGCATACCTTGGTGCTGTTGATATGTCTTTGGAATTAGGCAGCATTACCATGTTGAATCAATAGTTTATCCTGGCAACTTAAAGGCACTGAATGAATCACAGTAGAAGTCACGCTAGTAGGCAGAACATTGCCCCTCCCTCAAAATGTCTACACCCAGAAGTAAATCTTCAGAACAAATCCAATAAAATGCTTGCTCTGCATCTCTCATTCTACTTCTAAACCAACAGCTTTGTTTAGATAAATATGTTTAGTCTTGGTTAACCTGTCTTTGGTTTTTCATTCAAGACATTCAGAAAATGTTTCTAAATACCAGCTATAGTTCAGAGAGAAAAGTATCTTTTCTAGAGAATGTTCATCAGCAGAGAAGCTTGCACAAATACATTTATTTTTATTTATATTCCCTTGCAGCAACATGAAAAAGTCAGATTGTTTCTTCCTGCCCCAACCAGCCAGTCTTACCAGCTGAGGATTTCTGGGCTTGGGTGCAGGTACGGCTCCTGAGGAGCAGAGAAGAAGCAATGCCATTGCTTTCAGGCCAGTGCTCCTGATGTTCCTCTCCTGTTCTTTTCCCCTGGATTTTTGTGGAGGAGGTTGTATCCATGTTTAACCGATAGCTTCCTTCTCCTTCCCAGTCCTGGCCAAGGCCCTGGCAAAGATCTTGTTGCTGTCACGGTGGTGTGGAAGAAATAGAGAAGCGTCAGGGTACAGTCATGCTGTGCTGTGACTTGGCTTTTTGATGCAGTGAAACCAGCTCCAGCTGCTGGCCCTGTGCACAGAGACACTGTAGGCCTCATGTACTTGCATGTGACTGTTTGCACAAGAAGCATTTTCCTGTGCAGATATTGAGGTACAGATTGCCAAGTCTTGCCCTATCGCTACACTCATCTCTAGAGTGTCACCCCCTCCTGACTTCTCTAGCCTTTTGAAGAAAATACAGTAAAATTATTTTCCAGCTGATGTGGATAAAAACATTTAATAGTGCTTCCCTGTCTGCTTTTCCTGTAATTATAATGCTCTGTTATTCCAGGGACAGGAAACGTGTCAGGTATATATTGTTGATCTGCATGTAGGTTCAAGCTCCTTTTCCTTTTATTTCAGTTAGAAAACATTTTTACATTTCAGAGAAGCAGATTAATGTTATAATTTGCATCACAGATTTTTTTTTTTTTTTAAGCAAAAGCTGGAACAAGCAAAACTTCTTTCAAAATAAACAAGAAAACTTTTGCTCCTTCAGTATCAAGTTTCAATTGAACTAAATGTTAACAGCAAAGTTCAGTAATTTTTAGGCAAGAGGATGTTGGTCTAACCCTTACTAAAGAGGCAGGAAAATGCTATAGCAGATGACCAGTTTGTGTGACAGTAATGTATCAACTCTGTGGTGGTGGTTACAGTTTCTCTACCCAGAATTATGTAATTCCAGAAACAAGATTTACGCAGATCTTCTAGCTCAGTTTCACAGAATGTGATATATTAAACCCCTTTTTAATTTTTGACATTCTGTTGGGCTTCTTGTAGGTCACACTTCCTGCAAATCTCATCTTGAAATTTGCAAATGTAATTTGTAAGGTAGGTTTCTTGATACATTCACAGAAACGCTGATTTCACATAGTTGAGTGTGGTCAAACTTGTGCTTTCTCATTGTATCTTTATCTTGCTGCCTTTATCAGGTACTCATTAATGAGTGAAGGATCAAAAGGTGGGACGGTGGCCAAGAAGCAATGGAGAATAAAAGTTTAGAAGGTTCCCCATCAGACCTAAAGTTAGTGGCTCACCCAAGAGCAAAGAGTAAAGTGTGGAAGTACTTTGGGTTTGATACCAATGCAGAAGGATGCATATTACAGTGGAAGAAGATCTACTGCCGTATTTGCATGGCACAAATTGCCTATTCAGGAAACACGTCCAACCTTTCCTACCACCTTGAGAAAAATCACCCTGATGAATTCTGTGAATTTGTGAAAAGTAACACTGAGCAAATGAGGGAAGCCTTTGCCACAGCATTTTCAAAGATCAAGCCAGAGTCATCGCAGCAGGTTGTTCAAGATAGCCTCATCATGAAGACCTACCAGAACTACGAAAACAAAAAACATCAGGAACTGACATCTGCAGTCATCAGCTTAATTTGTGAGGGCATGTATCCGGCCTCCATTGTTGATGAACCCACCTTCAAGGCCCTCTTGAGAACAGCAGACCCCAGGTATGAACTTCCGAGCCGGAAATACTTCTGTACAAAAGCTATTCCCGAAAAGTACAGTGCTATTAGAGAAATTGTGCTGAAAGAACTCACGGAGGTTCTGTGGTGTGGCATATCCACAGACATGTGGAGGAGCGAAAACCAGAACAGGTCGTACGTAACGGTTGCGGTTCACTTTCTCAGCAGCAGTGCTGCCAACTGCCTGGCTGTGAACTCGCGGTGTTTAAAAACGTTTGAAGTGCCAGAGGATAATACTGCAGAGACTATTACACGAGTCCTTTATGAAACGTTCATTGAGTGGGGGATCAATACAAAAGTCTTTGGTGCTACAACAGATTACAGTAAAGACATTGTGAAAGCTTGCTCTCTCCTAGATATTCCCGTACAGATGCCTTGTTTGGGGCACACTTTTAACACAGGAATACAACAAGCTTTTCAGCTCCCCAAACTTTGCAACCTTCTTGCCAGGTGCCGAAAACTGGTGGAGTATTTTCAGCAGTCCACGGTCGCAATGTACATGCTGAGCGAGAAGCAAAAGCAACAGAATATTCTCCACTGCATGCTGGTAAGCGACCGTGTTTCCTGGTGGGGAAGCACTCTCGCTATGCTGCAGCGCCTCAAGGAGCAGCAGTTTGTCATTGCCGCTGTTCTCGTGGAGGACAGCAACAACCACCACCTCATGCTGGAATCCAGTGAGTGGAATACAATCGAAGGGCTGGTGGAGCTGCTGCAGCCTTTTAAGCAGGTTGCGGAGATGATGTCTGCTTCAAAGTACCCCACAATAAGTATGGTGAAGCCACTTCTCCACATGCTTCTGAATACTACCCTGAACATCAAAGAAAATGATTTGAAAGAAATCAGCATGGCAAAGGAGGTGATTGCTAAAGAGTTGTCAACCACCTACCAGCACACACCTGAGATAGACATGTTTCTCAATGTTGCAACTTTCTTGGATCCCCGCTACAAAAAACTGCCTTTCCTTTCAGCCTTTGAGAGGCAGCAGGTGGAAAACAGAGTGGTGGAAGAAGCAAAAAGCCTGCTGGAGAAAGTAAAAGAAAATAGCTTTAGGACTGAAGAGAAATTCTTCACTGTTACAGAAGAACCTCCTATGAAAAAAATCATCATCTCTTCCACTCCTCCTCCTACTAGTGTCATCAACAACATGCTTGCAGAGATCTTCTGCCAGACAGGAGGCGTTGAAGACCAGGAGGAGTGGCACGCTCAAATCGTTGAGGAGTTGAGCAACTTCAAGTCACAAAAGGTCCTCGGTTTGAATGAAGACCCACTGAAGTGGTGGTCTGACAGACTAGCGCTGTTTCCAGTTTTACCAAAGGTTCTTCAAAAATACTGGTGTATTCTTGCCACAAGGGTCTTCCCTGAACGCCTTTTTGGTTCTTCTGCTAATGTTGTGAGTGCAAAGAGAAACCGGTTAGCCCCGGCTCATGTGGATGAGCAGATCTTTTTGTACGAAAACAGTCGGAATGGGTCCGAGGCAGAACCAGAGGATGAAGATGAAGGAGAGTGGGGTTTGGAACAGGAACAGATTTTTAATTTAAATGACTCGGTAAACATAAACAACAACTTCTTTAATATTCGAGACAGTGGGTTTGTTTAACAGGACTGCAGCGGTACATTTAATAACAAAGAAAAAAGTATTTGTCTTAAGTTACCAAAAATACTTCTGTTTTATGCTATGATGCTGTAAATATTGAACAGTTATAACAAACTTGATTTAGCTTCCATTGTCTGTGTTTTTCCTGCTGTCTTAAAACATGAATGACTGGTGATTAAACAGCACTGAAATGAGTGAGGAAATAAATTCTGCAAAGACCATGATTTCTGACTGTGGCCCAGATTTCAGAAAGCACTTACCCATGTGCTTCCTTTCCACTTGCTTCAGTGGGAGACAAACACATGCTTATTTGCTTTCTATCATAAAAATATTTTCCTGAATTAGGTCCCTAAGCAAGGGAGTTTTTAAGATTTATGCCTCCATTTGTAAATCCTGTGTAACTCAGGATGCTAGCTTTAAAAGTTTGGATTTTAAACATTTTTAAAATCTATAAATCTGAACAGTGAATATTTTTAGAGTATATCAATGCTGTGGAATGAAAAAAGATCTTGAGCCTGATTTTTCACTACCTCATGTCTTAGGCCTGGTCTATGCTACAAAAGTTCAGCTGGTATAATTCTGTTGATTAGGGGACTGATCTATTATTATTTTAACTGATACTGTGCTGGCATAGGCTGTAGTGTAGATGCATTTATACTGGGATAATTTATTTTCCTTTCCAGTGTGGTGTAAATGTTACAAACACTTCTAAACTGGTATTGATGTGTCCACATTAGTTCAGTTTTACTATTTAACAACAGCAGCTAAATGGCAAAACTGTGGAGTTTTTTGTTTGTTTTGTTTTGTGTCTAAGCAAGCCCTGATTGTAGTCTCTTTTGCTTTTACTGGTAACGAAGTGTGGGGTCGAGGCAGCCTTGTGTTACCTGTGCCTCCTGCAGATGCTGTGGCTGATCCACGTGGTGCGAAACAGGCAAGGCATCAGGCAACAGAGGGAGGGAAGAAGGGAAGGAGAGGGCAGGGAGACATCTACAGACCATGGGTCTAACAGTTTGTCTATGTTACAAAATCTTAATTTAATGGGAACTTTGCCCAGGGTAGCTAGAAAATTTTGTTGGCAAGAAAAGCAAAATACAAAGCTTTAATATTATGTAAATATATTTAAAAGAAGGGGACCTCTCTGTTTCCTCACATGTATTTAGTGAGTCCTTAAAATAGTTTCTTACTCTGTTAGCACTTAAAAACTTTTTTTTTCTCCTATCTCTTTTTGATTCAGTTTGTAGAGTGGACTTTAGTCCCATCCAGTCTAATGTTTGAGTGCTGTTTCTGATTAGCTGTGTATTGTAATTGCTCCCTTTGTGTCTCTAAGCATCAGTGTTTTAAGACCTTTTGGGAACTTGGCAAACAAGAAAAAAGAAAGAAAACCAACCTGAAACCCCACATTTCTTATGAAATAACTGTAGGTCATAAACAAAATTAGAGTTTATGCTAGATACAGAGTAGTCTTTTTTTCTCTGAGGTGCAGTGGAGGACATTTTCCACTTACAGTCAAGGTTTGCTTGGGGTTTTATTTCTGTTACTGGTGTCTCACCTTTCCTCACCTCAGTCTACAACTATGTTGAGCACAATCTTTCTGGAGAGAGGTCTGTTGAAGACTGACTGTTACTGTTCTGGAGGAAGAAAGTTAAGTATTTTTTAATCATGGTGGCACCCGTGGACGTTTGGTTGTAAAAAGGGCACAGGCAGCAGGAACGTACAAAAATGAGAATAGCAATGGAATTGAATATATTGCCAAACTATTTATGTTTAGGTTTAATAGTTCTTGGAAGCTTGAGGCCTCTGTGTTCTTTTTAGGTGCTGGGAATGGGCAGGTGGGTGGGGAGGAAGAGCAGAGGTTAGAGTGAAGGAACAGTGAAGTAAGTAATAGCAAACTACACAGCATGTTTAAGCCCAGGAAAAGTGCATTTAGCAGGTGGTGTGGCTGAAAACGGATTTGCACTTGTACAAAGTACCTGCACTGTGCATCCTGTTGAATATTGCTTCTCTCCACGTCCACTGAAGAGGTGTATGTGATTGCCCAAGGTGCAAAACGCAGGCTTGGCTTAAACTCCCACAGGTATGTCGGCCTATCTGTGAGGGCAGCAAAATCAAATTACAGAAGGGAGCGAGATACCTGAGCTCTTGTGACATCCTAGCAGCCTGCCAGGAAGACCTCTTGGGCTTTTATGTGTGTTGAGAACCAGCTGCTCTTGCTTGCTGCTCCACCTCCACTGCTACCACCACTGCTAGCCCTCAAGTTGCTGCGCACATGCTAGTGCGAGGTGTGTGGATCCTTCCTTATGTGAGCATAATGCAAAGCCGTGCCCTCACAGCCAAGGCAGAGCGCAGAACACCACTCCCCTGGTCTGCACTTGGCCTACCCCTCTTGGCAGCATTGTTTCCATCTTCGTCCTCCTAGGGCTAAACGTATATGGTGACGCTTACGAGCAGTTGTGCTGAGATCAGTGCAATGCACTACTCTCTTCCTTCCAGCTTCTTTTTATTTTTTGGTATCCAAAATAAAATTGTAGTCAGTTCAATTGATGTGTCTCAGCATTCTTTTAAAAAAAGGAGAAGAAAAAGAAAAAAAAAAAGAGCAAAACCATTGTTAGTCCTACCCATTGTCTGTGAGATTTTTATTTAATGTTCTAAGCCTGGAATATTGTTAAATAAATGAGAAAAATAAGTTAGTTACTAGATTATTTGTCTGATGTGTGTTCATATCTGCAGCACTTTATGACTTTGAACTCTACCGCTACAGGGGAAAGTTATATTCTAAGGATTTGAAGCTATGCATTTATTTTCTTTTTGATCTTGTAAGTTATTTTTTAAAAATGCTGTACAAATCTTTTGGATTAAAAAAAAATGAGGATGAAAAATGTTGGAAGTTTAGATGGTTTCTCTCGCTTAAATATGTGTGGTGTTTTTCATTTATCAACATAATTTTCTGTTGTTTATTTGGGTGGAGAACCAAAATTGAAATATTGCTACAACTTGAGCTAAACCCCAGTGTTACTGCCAAGGGTGGGCCCAGAACACATTTCCAAACTACGCTATTAAGTCAGCTTTATGTTTGTGTTTCTTGACATCTACTTTAAATCCACAGCCTAATGTTTCCTTTTTGGTACAGCAGAGACATCTTTTTGGAGGGGCAATAGAGGAACAAACTTCAGCTTTTGAGTGCTTTCATGCTGCAAAAGTGAATTTTTGAACGGGCTCTCAAAGTACATACTTTACATCAAAAGAAGATGAATTGCCTTTTGTTACCAACTAAGTATTGCGAATTCAGGATTAAAATTCATTGGGCCTAAGTGAGGTTTCTTGGGGTAGCAGCATAAGTAAAGGGAGTTTTGTCTGTCTGACCAATCTTTGCACACATTTCACCTCTCTCTGCCATCAAGGACTATGAGAAGGAAAAAAGAAAAACCTGAATCAAACAAGTTGAAAAGGTGAATTTTTCTAGCAAACTGTGTCTGAGATGCTTTGGTTTAAATGAAGGCAATAAAGTTCTGCATTATTTCTGGAAAGGGTGAATTATTTTAAATTTCTATTGCAGCAATGTATTAGATAATTTTGAAGGTTTTTCTTTAATTGATGTCCTGGTGTCCAGTTAGCTTTACAGGAGCATTTTTCACACAGGTAGGAATATTAAAAGCAAAAGAAGCACAAATTGGTTATTTGTAATATTTTATAGGCCTTCTGAAAACTTAAAAGTGACATGCAGTTCTTGATTTTGTCGTTTTTGTGTGACAGTTTAAAAAAAAAGGGCTGCCTGGGGACATCTTTTCTGAAAGAAGGGAAGTGTATGGGTGCGAGCACAGAAGTAGTGTGTTTTACATATTCCGTGACAACTGGGTAAAGGAAACTTTATGCTGGAAGAATTGCATTTTAGTCTTTGCACACCCTTCTCCTTTCAATGGTCTCCATTTCTGAGTGTTCTTCTCAGAGGATGATGTCTTTCTGAAGGTCTGGTGATCCCAGTTCTGGTGGTGCACTGCTATCTAGTCTAGACTGTCTTTTTGACTCTGCTTAGAGGAGTCTCCTGGTCATAAAAGTTTTGTGGCTTTTTTTTTTTCTTTTTTTCTAGGACAAGACTATGGTCTGTCTTATTGTATCTCCTCCAAAGTAATATTCTGCTAAATTCAAGACATTTTTTATTTTTAGTGGATGCAGGGAAATTACTGAAATTGGTTTTGGTTTTTCAGTAATATTATTTGGTGCACTAGAGAGAACTTAAAGATACAACATAATTTTATATCTGCCTGAAAAGCACGCCAGTGAAGCATGTCTAATGATTTGATACTGTTTAAACTAGAATTTCAAAACATCCCTGCAGTTGCTGTTTATAGTGCTATCATTTTACATGCAAAAGCATTTCCTTTAAATTGAATGATAAAAATCAATTAAATAGGTTTTTACTGCTTTTGCAGTAATTTTCAGTGCCCTTGCATTTGGGTTAAAATGCCACAAGAGAATTGACTTTAGTATTAAAAAACCTGGAAAAAATAAAAAATAAACCACTGTCTTTTGGCTTACCTTGTGTTTTAAAACTAGTAATAAAATTTGATTTATATCTTTTTAAAAATTCAGAGGCTGTTGGAGCAACTATTTCCAAATGACAGTCCCTTAGAACTCTGAAATGTTAAAATATTAAGATTTTTGAGCATTTATATTGACATTTTCACACTGAATGGTGTAACAGATTTCCCTTTCTGCCAGAAGAAAAGGTTAGTGTTCACAGAAGTGATGCTGATGTCCACAGTGCTTTGAAATGCTGATTTGGATGTATGATTTTTCCAGAGATGTTGAGAAGAAATAACCTGCTGCACACTGTGCTGGTTTCCTTGCATCACACTTATTTCCAGTGACTTGAGTTTTCCAAATCCTCTGTCCTGTCTCCTCTCCCTGGCCCTGTGTGGGCAGAGTGCCGGGTGGGAACAGCAGGGAGGAGAAGCCCAGCTCCCCAGTGTTTCTTCTCTTACAGAGAGACTGTTCTTGGAGAGCGGATAAACTCAGTTTAAAATTAGTTTTAAACTAGGTTCTTATTCCAGTCCACTGAGGCTATGGCACCTGTGCCATGGTGTGAAAAGGCAGAGCCAGTAATTCCTCTCTCCACAGTGATGTACACTTGGACACACTGCTCAGTTGGACTAAAATTGCCTATAAGGGGGAAAATGCTGGGGAATTGAGCTCAGCACAGCAAGGAAACTATCCTCACAGTCAAAAGCATAATGACCAATAGCATAGAATAAGCAGTAGTAGAATAAGGTTATTTTTAAGAAGGCGATTTCTTTCATTACATACAATTTTATGTCTATTCATTGTCCCCAAATACTTGCAGCTAGGAATGAGAAATTTGTCTTTTATTTCTCCAATGGATACTGCCTTGCTTTTAAATTTGAGACATCTTATGTCTCAGTTTATCACTCTGCCTTTATGGACACTGCTATTGAAAGGGTTTCATTCTCCCTTTTTTTCTTTTTGCTTTTTTTGTGTGCTTTTTTTTTCATGAGTCATCAGTGAGGTTTACAGTGATAGGAATTTGCAATCATAACAAGGAAGATGTCAAGTCAGCATCAGGAAAGCTCATGCCAGAAACATCCCATCCCATGTCATAAATGCTGTTCTCCAAGGGAAACCTTCATCTTTTCAAACATAACCTTGTGATGTGTGTGTGAATCTTCATCTTCTCAAACATGGCTTTCTGATGTGTGTGTGAGAGAGAAAAATGAAGTGATTTTGCAAACAATGCATAGTTCTGGTTTATGGGTGGTAGTGCGGTTTGCTGTGAGTTTGTGCTCTGGGATGCACTCAGTGGTTTGACACCAAATTGTAGTTTCTTGAGCACACAGCAGAACTTATATGAACAGATGGAATTTAACAACAGTTAGATGTGAAAAATGCAATTGTTTTATTGATGGGAACAGATAAGAAGTGGGTCCGTCTAGGGAAAATACTGAAATTTTACCAGGACCCTCCTGTCTGAAATGCTGATAGCACTTAAAAATACTAAATTACTGACCTTCCTGTAATCTGATATTTTAGAACTCTGTAAAACACCTTTTGGTGTTTCCATGGTGCTGTCAATGAGCTCTGTTATCTTCAAAACCCTGCACTCCCAAATGGCCGGTGAGGAGTTTACAGCAACAAGACGTTGGAGAAGAAGGCAGATGCAGCTGTTACTGTGACCTGTCCTCTAGCATGTGTGAGCCTGGGTTTAGGGGGCTTTTTCTGAATAATAGTTTGACACATTCATCTGCCATAGATAAACATGCACATGCAATTGCTACTGATCATAAATCTGGTAGGTTTCAAGGGAGCGAGTGCTGTGGTGAGAAAGCCAGTCTTATGGATGAGTGGAGCCTTCCATATGCAGCATGTATCCCTTCTGGTCCCTAATTCTAAGCCCCACTTTATTTCCTGGGCCGGGAGTAAGTACATTGGTGCTGGTCTTTGCTGTGTTATTTCTGTGTGGCTCTTGGATTCAAAGTGTAAGAACAGGAGAATGTGACCTGCGTGCTTTGAAGCCATGGTGAAAGTAGGCAGAAGTGTACCTGTGCTGTACATGATTTGCTGAGTGGGTTGCATGAGCAGTGGGTTGAGGATAATCTGAAGTTTACCCTGTGGTGGTGTGAATACAGGACTGGCATTTCTGCTAGGAGATGTCTGCATGCCTGGTCAGAGAAATTAAGTGAGAAAAGCACAGCCTTGTGCATGGTGTCTCTGAAAGTATGATGCAATGCCCAGGTGAACTTAAAGCACTCCCGTGAACTAGTTCTGCTGTAGTCTTTCAAGCAGATTAACCACCTTGTTCATGCCCTGCCCATGCCATCCCACCTCTCCTTCCTCAGTGTTCACAAAGATTTCACAATTCTTTTTGGAGATACAAATTCAGAGATAATACATGACAGTATTTGTCAGTTAAGACCATGGCATATGCTTTTTGTGCCTTTTTTGGCAATGCATATTAGAGCTGATGGAAGATAAAATTCTTCTTTTACCCAGAGACAACTCTTCCTGCAGTGAGGCGATCAGCTCAGTCTGCAGAGTTGGTCTCTTGGCTGCACTTCTGCCCTTTCTCTTGGCTGTTTAGGAAAGTTGCTGTGCTCTGCAGAGAGAAAAACAGATTCCTCCAGAGTGTTTTCCCTGTGTTTTTGTGTTGCTGGGGCTGCTTTCTGGTCTGCACATGCCTGAAGGAAGGGGATGGGCCAGGGCTTTTCCCCTGATGTTACTACTTCCCTGGGCTGGTTGGCCGCCCTGGGAAGAAGATTGCGCAGAAGGTGACACTGCCAAGTGATAAGTTTGCAAACACTTAGACTACAAAATTATTCATTCATTTTATATTTATTTTTAGACTAAGATTAAAACAATACAAATCATGGCCTAAAAAGGAGCCTGCAGACTCTCTGCACTAACTCCTTAAGTTAGCTGTCCAAATATATATTTAGGGACTTAATCTCTAAAAGCGATCCATTTTGCATGGTTCTACCTTCAGAACCACTAGAAATGCTGGCATCACAAATGTGTCTCTTTAAATATCTTTAAATAGTGGTATTTTGAGGTAGGCTGCGTATGTGATGCTTTTTTAAATGCAAACCACAACTTTTTGGTTTCCATATATCCATTTTGTCTTCTGTTATGCTTCAAAGGTTAGTATCCGTAGAATCATTCTGTCTAAAATGAGTTCTTTTAAGACTTGACCTCCCAAATATAGGTGGGCTTCAAAAGTAAGAGGAGTATTTCCCCCCACAACTCATAAACTGAAAGTCTAAATTATTCTGTTGTTGAAGGAGGCAATTGCAACTGCATTCTACCAAAATATGGGAGAATGTGAAGTGTAAATAAATACATTTTTAGGTGAAATTCTGAGTAAAAGGCTTAAATGTAAGCATCTCATTTTCTGCCATTATTTGGATCGTCGCAAGATGGAAATGGACCCGTGGTATTCCAGTGAGTGTATAGGTGAAGGAAAAACCTTCTTTTATTTAGTCATTATTCTGCTTGTGAGGATGTTTCAGTTTAGATGATTTAGTCGCAACAAGCATAAAATCAACAGTTTCAGCAGATGTGAATGAGCATTTCTATTCCTTGGTCCTTCCTTCTTTGATAAACAGGAACTTGTTCTCCCTTGTTAATGTAGAACAAAGGAAAGAAGGCAAGGAGGTGTCGAGTATTATAGGTGGAAGGTTGGGTGTTTGCTTTGTGCTCATACAACTGAAGCATTGATGAATTTCAGAGCCAGATGATGGATTGTGTTTGTGCAAGTAGGGCATTTAGGTCTAAAGATGGGCAGATGTTGTCTTTGCAATGGATACCTGGTCTTTGCTTTCAAGTTCAGCACTATGCCAGTAAGTGTGATACTTAACCCCGAGCATTAGCTGGTTGTGCAAATAGGAGCTTCTGCAGTCACTCAGTGTCCTGTGGTTTTGGGGCTGTTTGGAGTAAGATCTGCTTGTTTAGGTCATAGAGCAAACTCTGTTAGCATTAACATCTCGTGCTAATGATGAGATGCTGCAACTCAAGA